ATTCCAATGCTTTGTAATTGTTTTTACGTAAGGGTTCATACAACTTTCACCACAAGAACCAGCCAATGAAGTTTCGTTGCATCAAAGATGCGAGAAACGGCGATATCAATACGAGATCGAGCATCGAAAAAATAAGATGTATACTTATTACTCGTTTTGAATTTTGTCCCCCTAGGGGAGACTAACACATGCACATAGCTGACTCAATTTCGTTGTTACTAGCTGTATAACAACAGAGCGAAGGAAATTCATGTTGATCTAATTAACGAATCAATGAATCGATACATAAATACAGAGTGCAACGGATTGCAATCAAAACGAATAATGGGAGTCACCGAGATGATCCCCTGGCTCCTGGGATTTTTCTATCTCTTCGCCTAAATGCCCAAGAAATAAATAATAACAATAAATCGGCAGGAAAGGGTCTGAAAAAATAATTTCTGCTTCTGTACGACCTACAGGACTGTAAAAGAGCTCGTTCTAAAGCTAAAACTGAACACAACGCACTACGAGACCAATGCGATAAGAATAACGGTGCTGGAAACGCTTTTACCCCTCTCTGTACCGAATATTTGATTAAATCTTGCTGAGACATACGTTGCCATTACGGCAGCAGTATATACCTGCAGGCGGAGACGATTCTCGACAACAATAGTGCAATTGTGCTTACGAATACATTATCGTGGCGCGGGTTAAAAAACATTGATAAGGAGGATAGTTCGGAGTAGATGTCAACGAACCAGGTAGGCAGGATAAGTATTATCTTATCTAGATGTGTGCCTACTGTTCGACTATTTGCCCACCCTTTCCCGATTTCCCAACAAGCTCCCAGTGAGACGTCACTCGCACCAACGACGACGTGTCTGCCCCGAGTCATTTCAATCGGAATTCGAATTCCACGGGGAAAAATTTCAATTCAAAGTGTTAAAGCAGACCACGTTGTATGTGAATTGAATAATAAAGAAAAACGATTGCTTCAGCTATGTCTTGACACAAAGTTCTGCCAGAATTGTTCACGTGAGCTACCAGCCACAAGTAATATCGTTTATTAAAATTATTCTCAATTTTTTCCTTCTACCGCGTTCCAACGCCGGTTTCAGTTCTCCCATATCGCAAATGCATTTTCACGCGTGTACGCCGGAGTTCCGAAGTGCACGCACGAGCGAGAGAAATGCATAATAGCGACGTATCGTAAAACGATGAAACACGGTAATAAAAGTAAGTGGCCATACAGCCGGAGGCTTTAGCCACCGTTTTGTAGAAGCTTCCTGTTGTTCGTAAAACTTGTCTCCCACCTTCGAGTACTTCCCTAATCGATTCTGAATTTTTCATGCGCCTCAACCACGAATTTTTTTATGGAAAATAAATTATTTGCATTCTAAAGACGAAGTTCTTAAATACGGGTTCGTATAATTTTGTGCATTGGGCGCAGCGTTGGAATTTTTTAATAGTTTCTACGCTACGGGAGTTCGCAGGATCATTAGAATATGTAGTTCTAACAGCGGCAGTCTACCTACAGTTTCCTGAACGCAAAAGCCGAGGGACGTTCGAAACACGCCAAATGCGTGAAACTCGCGTAGGTTCCGATACTTTTTATGCCACCCACGCTTAGAAACGGGTTTCCGCGGAGTAACTGCCTATACGAGCCTAAGGCCATTCACTTTTGCAACGTTACGACCGGAGATTATCGTCATTGTTAATTGCGTCGACGTAATCCTCCGATTTTACGACTGACGGACGTACCGTCGAAGTTTCAATGGCGACGACTTCGACGAAACCCCGTAGTTTCAGATCTGTAATTCTGATTTCTAATTGCAAGAATATGATTAGGCTTTAGCAGAAAGTAGCTGAGTGAGACATTCAGTCGAATTGTCGCTTCGGATCGACGAGAAAAAAGAATGAAAGTAGGAAACACGTTCCGAGAACTCGTAACACGCCTGACTCATTTCCTCTCCGAACGTCGATTGATTTGTTTAAACGATTCTTATTAACATTCGAATCGTCTTTGGCCAATGCAACGAAGAATCGTTAAAGACCATAACCTTCGGCTTCGATCTTCTGTTTTAAAACGTTCCTATTCCCACTCGAGTTTTGTAATTCAGTCCTGGAGAGGTCAAATAGTTTTATCACTTTAGGAACGAATAATACGAACCAGCATAGCTATTGGAATACGCGTACTTACCGTGGCAAGGCCACGCGCTTGCAGTTTAACTAACCGTCAGATGTTTTAAACTCTGACTCTCTGACGCACCGCATAGACAATCGTTCGTTCGACGATCAGCTTTTACCGAATAAAAACAATTGCCTACAGCGTGTTCATTACGTAAAACTATTCGATACGTTCCTCGAGGATAGAAGGGAACAGTAAACATTTTTTACTCGGAGTCACGTACGTATATAGCCACAGTGGACGGTATTCGAGATTTACTTGCTCCGTTCCAGATGCAATTACAGCACGCTTGACAGCGGCTCGATTGCAGTAACGTCGAGCTTCTCGTGCGTGCACCACACGGAATACACGCAGTTCGCGTGACAGGTGACCATTCTGGTTTACGAGCGAATATACAACGCGATGTAAATCACGTTCGTTCCACGCGTGTGATCGAGGATCGATCGAATCACCGATTTCGGTTCGATCGATGAGACACGAACGACGTTGGATCGTTCAGGAATAAATCGTGCACGGTGATCGATAATAGTTTCGGGCGCGATTGATAAAAAGAAAAACGAGTAAGTACTCACGTCACGCGTGGCTCCTCTGTCCTCTCGACCAGTGCCAGGTTCACCTTCCGAACGTCCTCGGCGTCCACGGTAATAAGTACGCGCCAAGGGTTCGCGTGTCACTCGAAAGCTGTCAATGATTACGCACACACACGCACACGCACACGCGGGAAAAGATTCACGCGAAAACTCAACGATCCGTGACCACCTGTTGCCCCGAAAAGCTCACGCCGGAATGACACGAAATTGTGTGACGCGTTCCTCTCAGTCATACATCAAGCGCCATCTGGTAACAAAAATTTCAATCACTCGTTCGAATTCGTATTTCTTCGTCCGCTAAAATATTTTCAATTTTATTTTTCTGTACAAATCAGCGTACTTATAAACGATCTTATTTCTTATCTCTAGGCATCTTGAAACAAAACCATTCGTTATTTCCTATACGCGTTTTGTTGACCGACATATCGTAATCCACGTACGGTACGTGCCAGCAATCGTTCTTTTTCTGAACCATCGCGTTGACCTGTATTTGGTCATCTAATTGAGTCCCCGAGCCCTTGAGCGTCACGGTCGTGTACTGATGCGACGCTTGCCATTTTTTGAAAAGAGCGTCCAACTCGGGATCCTTCATCGCGAACTTGTGTTGCCGCATGAGATCTTTCGAAATGACTACCGTATCCTTACCACTAGAAAACGCTGCGTATAACAGAAATACGTCGTCCTTCGACCTGAAACCATCATGAGAAATCAGTAGACGCTTCGGTTTTAAACCCGAGCACGTAATACGCACCAATCGTGGACGTAGAAATAATCAGCCATATCACGGATGTCCAGTCTCATTATCATCTTCTTCAAATGGTACCTGCCGATGACCAGAATCTTCTTCCCCCATCTTTTATAATATTTAATACTGTCCACCAGCTGGAAAGTATCGAATATTAGGTACGAAAAGAAATTTTTCCATCTCCGATCACTTACAGCCACGATTCCCCTATTGGAGTAGAAAATATTCAGTCCATCTACGATGACGTCGTATGGTTTCCTCTGGTCTATGTACCTGACATAGTGCTGTATCTCTTTCGGATCAGTGACGTAATACATACCCTCAGAAATCAGTTTCTTTAACGTAACCTGACGTAAACGTTCATATTCCTCGTCGTTTAAATCGTTTCTGGCCAAAAGTTGTTTACATACAGCGCAAGTAGACCTGTGGAAAAGAATAAGTAATTATTTGAATAACTATACGCTCGATCGCGAACGGACCTTGAGATTGTCGTTGGCACGACCGACCAGCCGGATTGATTGCAAGCATTCGAAATTTCTAATACGACCCTCTGGACAGGTTTAAGGCCATACTTGTTCCATAATATAAACAAGTTTTCTATCCTTTCGTTGAACTTGTCCTTCTCTTTCAAGCAATGTTTCAAATACGAATCGTACGCGAACTTCGAAGGCCCCAGACTTGTTTTTAGCGAAGCGACCAAATATTTACGTCCCAAGTCTTCCTTCCCGTTCTCATAGAAATACGAAATCAAATTGCTGACGGCATCACGTATGTGCAAATGATTTTCTTTATAGTTTTCTATGATTTTAACAGCTTCCTGCCATTCGCCTACTTGGCACAGGCATCTCACGAGGACGTTGGCAAGCTCTGAGTTCAGTGAAGTATATGTGTTCGAAATGTTTTTGCATATGCTGAGGACATGTTCCTTTTCCCCTTTTGTGAGCGGATCATCCCTCATGCCGTATAATTTTAAATACGTGCTCAGAGTGGACACAGAAGGCTTGTAATTGTTGCTTTCTAAGAATTTGTAATAAGAGATACCAGCCTGAGGATATTTTTCATTTATACACATCTGTAGAACAAAAGTGTCCACGATCAATGGTTTGAATTCAGAGTCCATCACGTATCTCCTCATGTTTTCCCACGTTTCTTTCGGCACGTTATCAGGCTGGACCAGCACCTCAGAAAATTTTTCTTTCCAGGCACCACAGAAGTCGAAGAACTCTTTTTTCTTATAAATGGCAGTTATGTTAGACGCGTTTCGAATTACCTGTAGCAACGGTATTCGACGTATACACAGATTCATTCTGACGATACGTTCTAACTAATCTTTGATTATTAATATTTACAGTTTTCGTTCAATTCATGTTGACACGTGAATCCGCTTCGACCATATATATATTATGCATCTCATGGACTATTCAAGCTATAGTAAAGTTGTGAATTAGCAGTTGTGCGCAAGCGCTACAAGTAATGTCATATGGGCGAAGGGATAAATGCACGAATTGAAATTTTGGTCAGTTACTGAACTAATGCGATCGATAACCAGTCCATAGCTATTAAATACTGATAATTTTGGAGTTTTATAGGCTTAAAAAATTGTCAATTTACTCAAAATGATTAAATAAATGGTTACACTTAATTCTTTCACACGTACATTTTTCTTCATTGCATACATTTTTTCTATCTATTTAACAGCATTTGTAACTGTACAATTATTTATATCTCCGTTGTAGCAAATATCACAGGGCGTATTAAAATACAAAAAGGTTATAAATGAACCGATCAATCAACAGAGCCGACGCACATAATTGCCACTGGATTTTTTGCTATAGTTCTCGAATTCGACTCGTGTGAATCCAGCCAATCCAGCTGTCCCCTAACCTCCAAATCGTTTCTATGCTTCTAGTCTAACGCGCAGTCTCAGAGGCGTGAGAAGAGTCAGGAGAATCTTTTTAACGCCGACGCCACATTTTTCATTCAAACTGCGATAACTCGATGACCAGCGATCGTATATCGATTTTTAAGAACCCGTTTTAAAGAGCAAACTCCGATCTTTCAAAACGCCTTTCATTTTCTCGAAAAAAAGAGATCAGTACGACACATAAAAATTGCAATAATGTATAAATGATAGCAAAAATAAGTTTTATAAACGTTTTCTCGAATCGTTTCTAATGTGAATATATTTTATGTAATAAATAAATAAGGGGACGTTAAGCACGCTATTGTCTCAGAATCGTCTTGACGTTCACTGCTTTAGCGAGTGATACTGCGGTCAGCGGGATGACTAGCGTTTCTGGAATCTTATAAAGAGGATTGATAAAGCCAGATATAGTTCAGTCTCCGAGGGCCTCGCGTTCATCTCGCGTCGATCGTTCGGCCCAGTTTCTCCGTGAACCACGACCGAGCGTGTCGGGATCAGTGAACGACCGGCAGTTGTCCACGCGAGTGAAGGAAACGCGTGACGAAATCAAGAATTTTCGCGAGGTAAGAGACAAAGTAGACGATCGAGCAGTAGAAGTTTCGAACTGCGATGGAACTTTTAACAATGGACCGTGAGATCCTTAAAAAGAGAATCACTGGAAATCTTGTAAAATATTTGTTATTATTATTGTAGATAAATCGAGTGACCTTGCGCTTACCACTCAGAGTTACAATGAACCGTGAAGCACATAATTGAAATCGCGAACTCGAATCGGGATTGAATTACGAACGTTCCCGTAATATTTTACACGGTATGAGGATCGGTACGTCACTCGAACGAATCACCTTGTTATTTAAACGAGTCGCAGAAAGATTCTAAACGATTATTTGCAATTTTTCTTATCACGTTGACACGTGTAGACAGATAGTGGAGCGGTTCGTAAATAAGAATGCCGATCGAAAGTAATTACGCACGATGGACGCCCCCCACTATCCCCCCTTGCCTCTCGCTCCTTTCTAATTTTCACGTTCGGATCTGTTCGAAGCTCTTCCACGAACGAGTTTGTATATGGAGAATTACACATCAGACTCGAGCGACTCGGACTCGAGCGCGAAGACGCTGGACCTTTCTTACCTGATGCTCGATACGCAAGTACTGAACGATCATTTCGTGAACGCGAAAAATCCTGAACACGTGGACACGTTGTTACTGCATCAAAATCGTTTGAACAGCGTACCGCCGACGATAGTCAGGTTCACGAATTTGAACTCGTTGGACGTGTCAAACTGCGGCCTTTACCAGCTATCGGACTTCCTCGGCGACTGTCCCCTGTCCTGTCTAGTGGCCAAGCACAACAATTTGACCAACGATTTCTTACCGAAATGTTTTAAAAATTTGTCTGGCCTCAGAGAGCTGAACCTCAGCGGGAACCGACTGACGGACTTCCCGGAACAGATACTCGATCTGACGGATCTCAAGTACCTCTACTTGGGAGGCAACCAGATCACCGAGATCAGCAAAGATGTTTGGAAACTGCAGAGGTAAGCTCAGAGTGTTTCTCTCTCTGTTCCGGTTAATTTCGTTCAATCAGATTGCAGGTGCTGTCGATGGGCGGAAATCGGCTGACGGAGGTCCCGTCGACTCTGGGCGAACTGAAGTCTCTTCAAGCGTTGGTGCTCTGCGACAACATGTTGGAGAATCTTCCCAGTTCCATAGCGAAATTGACGAATCTCAAGTCGTTGTTGCTTCACAAGAACAGGCTGACGACGCTACCCACCGAGATCATCACGCTCAAATGTCTGACAGAGGTACGACGAGAAACCTTCGAACAGTTCGTCGAATCCTTTCCTAACGTTTTCTTTTGTGTTCAGTTATCGCTGAGGGACAATCCACTGGTGGTTCGATTCGTATCTGACATGACGCACGATCCTCCGTCCTTGTCGGAACTGGCCGCTAGAGTGATAAAAAGCAGCGACATCAAATACGATGAGGAGAGTATACCAAGAAACCTGGTGGAGTATCTAAACAGTAGCCATCGTTGCGTCAATCCAAAGTGTAAAGGTCAGCCGCCAGCCTAACAATTAGTTCAAAGTTCAAAGTTCCATCGATACAACAGCGACGAACGCTTTCTCTCGTTCGATCGTCTCCATTTCTCCGAGCGCGCGCGCGTTCCATCTCTTCGATCAAACATTTTTTTTCTCTCCAGGTGTATTCTTCAACAACAGAGTGGAGCACGTCAAGTTCGTCGACTTCTGCGGGAAATATCGTCTGCCATTGCTGCAATATCTCTGCAGCAGCAAATGCATAGAGTCGCGTGACGGAGATCAAGTGGTCAGCGGCGCGATGATAAGAAAGGTTCTCCTGGGTTGATCACGCACTACGGATCGATCGTTTCGGTCGACGTAAAATCGATTAAACAGGATAAAAATGTGAATACAATTTTTCCACGTAAAATCCCAGAACTGATTTCGCCTCGTACTGGCGCGTCTCGAACGTCCCTTGTACAATTCCAAATATAAATCTCGACGAGTCTCTTCTTCATTAACGCGTTGCGTACTCCACCGTCAGGAATGAAACCGCAGTCTGTTAACGTTATCGTTTTTATTGTTAAATAAACCACAAAATCTACAATAATAATAATAATAATAATAATAATAATAATAATAATAATAATAATAATAATCATAATCATCATCATCATCATCATTATATTATCATATAGTCTCCTCCACAGGAAACGGAGGCATTCGATCCTCGCTTAAAACACATCCACTGATTTATTTTCTACGATTACCGATTATCGACTATTCGTCGTGTGTGAACCGTGTAAAACAAAGTGATCGGTAGCGAGCGAAGCGAACGACGATAATTAATGACCATCGTGATTTCTCGTCGAGTTAGAGTCGTTTTCAAGGTTCCACAGAGAACATCGTTATATATCTTTTTGTCCGTTCGTTTTCAACGACTCGAAGTAAGTCGGTGTGTGACAGTCCTTCGTGGATATTAGCAATATATCGTAATAAGAGTTTACGCTAGTGTTTGTTTGTTTTTTTTTTTTTTTAATATCGCATACTGTGTCGCCTTTTTCATTAATTACCTATACATACATATGCGTAGTTCATATATATGCGCTCTGTTAATTTTTATACATTACATACACTTATATGTATGTACATGCTTTTTTTGTTTTCGGTTTCGTTTCATTCCCCCCGCCAGCCAGCGAACGAGTATTCTTCACACGCACTCCCCGCACGCAGCCACCCAAATTCGTTCCTTCTCCCTTCTCATCGCATTTTATATTAATTAACAAGTATGCGCGTTCGCTTCTTTACGTCCGAAGTGGTACACATCCCCCCTCGTGATTTCTCTCTGTCATATTAACACGATTTTCCCTGCCGCGACCCTCTCGGTATGGCGTTTACGGTCGTCGGACGAACGATCGAGACGATTTTATTACTTTAATTGAAAACTGCATCATGGACGTTTTGTTGCTCACTTTACAGAATACAAATAGTAAAAACGAGAATACGGTGAGAGTCGTCGATCATGCGATACTCGACCTCGACTCCGCATCGCTGATTTAGTAAGCGTATAGTAGAGAACGATCTGTACCCGAGTCAGACACTGGGCTGTGATCGTTGAAATAAGAAATTATTAGGCTTAGCCGTGTAATACGCCTGATAAAAAGAGATTTACTATTATTTATATTTAACGATTCTTAGTAGTCGTGAACAAATTGCCATAGCTTGTACATATTAGGGACAGGGACTCCCGGCGAAATGGTCGACCTAAGCGTTTGACGACTAAACGACTATAGTACACAGCCATACCGGAAGGGATTCAATATCGGTTCACAGTCGAATCTCTTCGTTGCGTGGTCGTCTTCATCATCTTCTTCTTCTTCTTCTTCTTTTTCTTCTGATTTATTTTTCTTCGTGCTACTCAGATCTTTCCGTCGCGTTCTTCTTGCCGATCAAACGCCGGAGGACCCTTGACGAGGTCAAGGAAGAGGGTCGCTTCGGTTCTATTCGGAAAATCGAACGACGGTGTCCAAGTATGACGGAACTCGCGTCGACGAAGGATCAAAGAGAAACAGGTTTACAAGAATAACGCGATCCACGCTGAGGAGGCGGGTCGCTTCGAGCTCGAGGAACATCGTCAGAAACTATTTACTTATAATGGTCAACGTTTCGCGCCTCGCTTCTGAAGAGGATGTCGCACACGGTGTCGTGGCACTAACAAGCGTACAGATAAACGGAAACGGAGATTCGTACAAAAGGCGATTCTCACGAGCGTTACACGTTTACGATTAATTTTAATTACATCTACTACCCTCGCTTGTATTGCCATTTGTTCGTCGGGAAAGATGTCTCGGCCCTGAGTCTCCGTGAAAAAAGACGGTGTCTCTAGATTGCGAAAGATAGTGCGGGAGCACGTTGAACACGCTGAGAAGCTTCTTCGTTCTTCTCGTCCTCGCGCCGCGGTAGAACGTGTCATGGACAGAATTGCTAGTGGTGCAAAAGTAAAAAGCTTATAAAAGTTCGACCGAGGCCAGGCTCGCGTCTCTAAAAGTGTCGTCTAAAAAATCCCTCGCGCTCTTTCGGAGATACACAGAGCGATTCACGTTCCTTATGTACAACGAACGATCTGCATTGTTTTTTCTTTTTTTTGCCGTTTTTCTTTTTCTTTTCGCGACCGAGAAAGAGGCGAGTGACGAACTCTTAAGACTACGAGTGCGCAGTATGCTTGGAAGTCCGCTACGTGGTACGTAATGAGCGAAGTCTTGGGAGATTGGAGTCAGAGTCCACCTTTCGATTTAGGATTATTCGAGATTACAGACAGTGGTACATAGAGTCTGCGCGTCTTCGTCAAGTTTAATACGAAATTCGCTCGTTCGAATTCCTCTGGAAAATGAACATTTTCAATGTACGATCGCTCGAACCTATCGGGAAACCAATTTGATTTCGTATTAAATTCGCCGCTCCTCACGATTCGCCGGAACACAAAGAATATGGTACATAAACGTGCCCGCTGGGAAACCAACTTATATATGTATACGGTTTAGTCATGGTTCTACGATATGAGAAACTGAGAGAACGGTACGTAACGAAAACTACGATTTATTATAATGTTAAGGTATTACGTTGCGTCAAGCGTACAATATCAGACATGTACAGTGCTTAGTACTACATATGTATCACTACGTCTTTAGCTACGGTCGCGTTCGACGGTTTGTTTCTGCGATACCAATGGTCCATCTCAGAATTGAACGACGGTAGCTTTCAGCGAGTAGAAGTAATGAGGTTCGTCTATTACCATTGAACGGGAATTACTAAGTTCGCGTTCGAAGCACGGTGGTTAATCTTAGACGTTAATCGTAGCTTCGCAGAGATCAGAAATATTCGACGGTCCAAAGCCCGACCCTCGCGTCGAACGGAAAATAAGTCTGACTCGCGGCGAAGCGGTCTCGCCACGCGGAGAGTTTCCTTTTCAATCTTCTACCGTATATACATATGCACACCACACACGCATACATATATGCATATATATACATATTAAATTACTTTATTTAGTTTTTTCTTTACACAATTATTACAATTTATTTACTAGATGAATTCGAAACGGTGCGACGTGACGATAGGATAGGTAGTAAGAAGACAAAGAAAAGGACCGACGGGTCTCTCTCTTAGTAGCGGTAACGGTGATGGAAATGTCAGGGAAACGACGAACAGAGTTCAATCAGACTCGGTCGCTCCTTCTTTTTCCCCCTCGTTTCTAAGTCTCTCTCACGCACGCTTATTCTTCATCCACGCGATTCTCCTCTCTCCCTCCGTCTTTCTTTTTACAGCGATTACCGATCTCTATCGTTAAAAATTAATTTCCATATAAGTATATTCATATTTATATCATATACTTAATTTAATTATACATATATACGCATGCACGTGTACGCCTGTATATAGACCGTCCGACGGCGAGGACCGATCGACTCCGTTTCCTCTGTCTCTTTCCAACGTAATACTGCAACATCTTCGCATCTGTCAAGTAATTGATTTTTCGATGGAGTCGCAGTCGATCGGTCCAAAACTATCACCGGTCCTATACGTATACATGTATATTATACACGCGTAAAGTATTTATACCTATACATATACATATAGACTTTCAATATTTTACACGGGCTGTTATCTCAAGACGGCTCACTCGCAATTGTTCTGTCGTCGCGTCTCGTGTCATCTCGTGGGTGGTATTAACGTCTAGTAGCGTCGAAGGTTTCCTAACGCTAGGGCAATGAAAAAATATAAGAGTAAGGAATATCAAAACTGATCTGGTGAACGATTCGCTCGGCGTGCCGCGAGTAATTTGATTCCTTATGATCTTAGATTATAAATTAGCTACGCGCCTCTTGAAATCACGATTCCAAGCGCGATTATATATGGGAAGATGAGAACGACGGAACCCGAACTTAATCGATGAATCTCTTTATTAATAGGATAATCGCGACAATTGATCAAACGTTTAGAGCTTGCGAGCCGTGCGCGATCGTTCTTTTTCTTTTTTTTGTTCACGTTGACACGCGTGTTCAAATTTTCTCCGTTTCTCCTGGTCTCCCCGGACAGATTCAGGACCACACTTCCGTTTCTCGCTGGCCTGAAACTTCGAAATCAATCATTTTCGTTCGAGTCTGTCCGATCGATTCGCTTCTCTTTTCTGAGTTCGTCGGTCGACGAGAGGACGGAAACTCCACCGGGCAAGCCGTCGAGATGTTTCAACCATTCTCAACAACTTGCCCGATTCGGTTTCGAAACGTGGAAACGCAAAAACAATGGCCTCGAAGAAAACGCAGTTTCAATGGAAATCGAGACCATCCTTCTTGCGTCGACCTAATGGACAACGGATTGATGAGTGAAGAAACACCACTGAAAATGGTTTCATGATCGAAAAATAAATCCGCCAACATCTCCATTTGTTTCGTTCTTCATTCGTTCTTTTTGTTTACAGAAAAAAAGACAAATTATTCTTCAATCGTCAAAGCGTGCAGATTGCTTTTTACAATGATGTATAAAAAAAATTGTAACGCGTTTTCCTTCTTCGTTCTACCTACGTCTCGACTAGAGGAAAAAAACGAAATCGATAAATTTACCTAAACGTCCGCGCGTAGCAATCAGGCGGTAAATTTCATTGAAGAAAAGGAAATGATCGTCTCTGCGTGTAATCGATCATCATTTAAAAGCATTTTTACATTACAATTAACGTTCATAAAACTCTGAAACGAATATACCGTAGCACATGTCCACACGCTCCCGACCTTCCACAGTCTCTCCACCGTCTCTCCTCATTCCCTTTCTCTCTCTATCTCTCTCTCTCTCGTCGTTTCGTCAGAAAAGGAAACGCATCGACTCTCTCGGTAGCCTGCCGTCTGTGGTTCTTTTGCGGCGTGAACATGATATGTAGTGGTGTGCAAAAAACTATGTAGATCACGCGCGATACGCCCCGGAAGGACCAGCTGCACAGGGGTTCTTTACTCTCGTTTTTGCCGTTTAAAAAAAAAAGAAGAAAAAACAGAACATTTCTCGTGGCCTACGATGACAGAAGACGATCTTTAAAAAAACGCTTCGTGAATGGACCCCCTTCGACCGCACTTCGTTTCTCATCGGGGATGGAGTCGACGCGCACTAAAAAACGATCTTTTTTTCCTTCTCACTGATAGAAGAACAATTATGTTCTAATTTAATTCTGATTTAAAACAGAAAATCGCTCTTCGCTACGCAGAGGTTCATTGTCAAGACTGAAACTGAAAAAATGAAACTGTTCGTCGATTGGTAAAATAATAATTGTCTAACGATTAAATTTTTCTTTTTGTTAACAAATAAAATTGCTGGAGTTCGTCGATCGAACGACGTCGATCAGAAACGATCCACGTGGACGTAAAGAATAGGCACGATCTATCGTGTACTCTTTTTCCTAAATCCGACGACGCTGCATTTCCGTGCAGCGTGTCAAATTCGATTCCGCGATGAATAGAGATTGTGCACGCAAAGTACTAACGTGTGTCGCCGTGTGTGTCTGTGTGTATAAGTGTGTGTATGGTTCGACCATGAGATTCTCCGCGTAAAAACGTGAACAATTACGTGAATTTCTCTCGAAAACGTCGACCTAGTGTGATTCTCCCATGTACGATCGTCGTTTCTCTTTCTCTCAACGGTTGGAAGGTCCACGGACACTAGGAAATGTCGAGAAGCTGGCTCGTTTTAAATCACGGTTGTGTGTCTCGTGTGTGTAAGGTACGTGCATACATATTTTCGAACGATCAATTGGCGCAAGCGACGTGAACGCGCTACTAGACACAGTATGTGAAAGATTGCACATCGTTTGCTTGAACCTCGGGCTAGAAAAACGTACACATTTTATATTTTGTTCGTTCCTTACCTTCGTTCATAGCAGGTTGCGGAACATTTCCTATAATGTGTATATATATATATACATATACACACACGCACTCACACACACACACACACTCACACTGAATTCATCGTTTTTAAAACATTTTTGGCAATAAGGTGGCAATCAAGCGTTCACGCGCGCCACCGTGAATTCCCAAGGGTGTACTCGAGCGAATCGATTACAAAGGGGAGCGGATTTCGTGGCTTTTTTCAATAGATTCCAGAACAAGTTCGCGTTTCAAGCGAACGGGACTCGAAAATAACACGTGGTATCGCCGTTTGCATCGAGCGATTAATTTACAATCGGGGGGAACGTGTACTCGTGTGTTACGTTATTATACCTCGGACATCCTCCTCAGAAGAGCTCTGAATCGTCCTCTCTTTATCGTACTTAAATTTTTCTTATTTTATCCCGTTTCGTTTAAGGCTAAGTCGCTAACACGTGAATTATCGGCCTCTCCCTCCCTTCCTCTCTCTCTCTCTCTCTCTCTCTCTCTCCCCGGTATCTCTTACGCACCAAACCAAACGCGCACACACGCATACATGCACGCACGCACACGTACATCTCTTTCTCTCCGTGTCTCGTCTCTATTTTGTTTAATTAAACGTTAAAAATAGAAAGCAGCTTAAGCCATGTTTGACTGGCCGGGGTCTGTGTTCTTTGAGGCGGACATCGTGTTGGTGTTCACGTTATTATCACTAGAGTTACCGCTACTACCCGCGACCGGTTCCGTCTGGCCACCAGGATTCTCCGAAGTTTGCATGTACTTCGGCTTTAGGATCGAGTTCAGGGACGGCTGAATCCGCAGCTCGTACTCCGTGAAGTTGAACAGGGGCGGGAGCTCCCGCCCGTTTGGTAATCGCGTACCCTGTTCCCGGAGCTCGTCGAAGAACGGGTGGGCGCACGCTTCCAGCGGCGTGATCCGAGCGGATGGCGTGTACTCCAGCAGACCGGCCACCAGCTCCATCGCTTCCGGCGGCGTGCGTGCCCTGAACACCTGCAACCACCGTGTTTCCACAGTTCTTTTTTTTTTATTTCGTTCCGGAATCCGTTGCGTTGGTTAATCGTTAACCCATTTGCATCGTTAGCGCACGACTCCTCTCTCGTCGATTATTACGTGAACATCGATTAGTGTGTGAAACATCGAACCGATTATTGCCACGTTAAGTACTGTGTATTAATTTCGATTATAATGTGCGATGCAAATGGATTCGCGAGGCAAGCAAGTATCCGTTTTTGTAGCCGATCATTGTGCGTTAGGTATGTGTTAATTAAAGATGTGCTTCGACTCTGAAACTTGTTCCACCGTGAAGCTCGTCGATCCGGCAGTTTTTCTTAATCCGATCTTAATAAAACATGTATCGCCCGAAGCGAGTTAAACTCTTCGAGAGCAAGTTCGTTCGCTGCATATGAATATTCGACGATCAATAAAAAGTAGCAAGAATTGTCTATACCGAGATAGTCGGGAGGTAACAATGAAGACTTACAGGTCTCCTGCAGGTTTGGTAGGCGACCTTTCAGTCACGTTCGTAACGATAGAAAAAAAAGGAAAGAAAAAGGTACACGATCGAATCGCACTGGAGGATAGTTTCGTTTCACCACCAGAACATTAGAGTAAGTGATCACCGAGACTTCGAGCGGGCCACGTTACAGTCGTCGCGTAAACGTCGATAGATCGTCTTTATTTTCGACTCCCTGACATCGAGTCGTTTTCAAACGGTGCAACGTCGAGGAATCCGTGAGTTAGTAAAGTTGTTAGGATGAGAAAATGATCGGAAACGAGATGGAGATAATTAGGAGGCAGAAAAACGAAAGAAAGTGCACGTCCAGCAATTTGTGATCGAGGAAATCTGTGCTCTTCTATTTATTTATTTCTCATTTCGGGTGATGATCGCCCATCGCTCGATTCGAGCATTCAGTCCCGCTCATACTTTTTTCAAAGGCTGAAGACCAACTAGTTACACTCGTTAGTAAAGTGATATCACGGATCAGAAAGAAATAGAAAAAAATAGGAGTAATTCGTCAGCCAATAAAAGTGATAAAGAAACATTGTCTATTTCATACAGGGGACCACTTACTCTAATCTTTTGGTGCTCCGTGGAACACTTTAGTCCACTCATTCGTTGAAGCATAAACTGTAACCACGAGTAACCATGTGTTGATGAATGTGATTAGAATCGAGTTCGTGTAAGAAAACCTCTTTCTTTAGATAGGAGGAACAGACACCTTACCCTCCAAGAGGAACGTCATCGCTCGTTTCAACGTTTGCTTTGATCCGAACACGACTTTACGGCAGCTACTTTCAATACAACAAATATCTCGAGACTGCTCTTATTTTTTTTCATCGAGGAAAAAGAACTCGTTTTTATCCCGTTAGTCACGTGTTTGTAGTTACGAAATTAGAAGAACCCGATGCGAGGATGCGCGGAACGAAACATGTGTCATTGATCATTCGACGGGACTTACCTTTTGCCATGGGTGCGCCTTAATTTGTGGGAATTTGAACTCGGTATAGTTGGGGTTCATCTCACGTATCTGGTCGCGCGTCGGCGTGCCGAGAACCTTGATGATCTCGACTAGCTGATCGACACCGCTGTCCCCGGGGAATATCGGCTGACCGAGCAGCAACTCCGCTACCACACAACCCGCGCTCCACACGTCTGTGAAACGAGATCAAACAAACCACGTTTGAGGTAAACAAAATAACTGTGTTTCGTTTATTTTCTACACGTGGCCCGGAGCACTGTTCGCGGGGTTCAGTGAAAGACGAGCGACTCACCGATTTTTGTGGTATAATCGATAGCACCAAAGATCAATTCAGGCGCGCGGTAGTAACGACTACAGATGTAAGACACGTTTGGCTCTCCCTTGACCAGGTGTTTGGCCGAGCCGAAATCGCAGAGCTTCAAAACGCCGGATTCCGGGTCCAGGAGCAAATTCTGTGGTTTGATGTCCCTGTGGCAGATCCCCAGCGAGTGGATGTACGCCAGAGAGCGGAACAGTTGGTACATATACAACTAAAAATGCCAAAGGAAACAAACGTTCAAATTAGATGTAGCTGTTTCACAATATTGCAAGTCAGTCTCGAGATAAACATCTCTCAATCTGACGCGTAGAGTAAATCTCGACGTACCTTGATAAAATTTATTGGTATGGTCTGCTTGCTTTTATTGTAATGCCGGGCGACTTTATATACAGTTTCGGGTATGTATTCCAGCACTAGATTCAGGTAAACCTCGTCTTTCTAAAAAAAAAAGATCGCAGAAGATGAATTTCGGTGTAAGGGCAGACGATGTGATACACGTCGCAGCGAAATTAAACCGTCGCGGATGATTCTTTCATCCTCGCTCGACATGATCCATGGTGATTGATATAATAACTCGTTCGATCGTTTTAATTTTGCTGGCGCGTGTACGCGGTGTGTCTTGTAACAAAGGCACACGCTGACAATAATTCGCGCGTTGGACACCTTTGAAACGGCAACACGTTGTAAAAAAGATTATTTTCTATGACTAGCCAAGCTGCGTTAGCACAGTCGGAATCTAGCACACAAAATAAAAAGAAGTACCTCTCGAGTTTTTTAACTGGCCTTATCAGGAAATCAAAAACGACTGGGGCATAAAAGATTTTAGTCTATTGGTACGTTCTATAGTTAGTCACGGCAGAGTGGAACAGTAAAAGTGTTTCGTTTCTGTCGTAAAAATCCGTCTATCGTCTATACGTAAGCAGGATTGCCTAAATTCTCTGAGGAGGGAATCTGATAAGTCAAAACTACTGAGTATCTCTCTTGTTCACTTACGTCCACGTGAAAAACTGGATTAGTTGCGTTTAAGATGTTCTACAAAATAACATAATAACGTCGCATGCATTAAAACTAACAACGACTATACTTGTTTTGCTTTGTGTGTCATTCGAGAGAAATCAGAAGTATCGCTACTATCGTGTGCAAATCGAAGATAGAAGAGAAAAGCTAGAGAATCCGGGGGATTAAACTTGCGTGACGCTGGATAAAAATTCAAGGAATATAAATCATTTCCTTCTCGACTCTCGGGCTCGATGGGAAACCGTCTCAGGTGTAAATCAATTCGTCACGCTGATCTACTTTTAAATTAAAAATCAGTATCTGGTCGACGTAAAGGAGACCGAAACGTTTTTCCCATCGATCCAATGACTGGCACGTTCAACAGTAGAATGTATATTACGTTCGGTTTCAATCGAGTGTACGGTAACTCGTTAGATAACGTGAGGTATTTACCTTATCACCGCTGGAGTAGAAGAAATATTTCAATTTCACGATGTTGCAGTGCTCGAGACGCCGCATGATTTGTAACTCCCTGTTCTATAAATAAAATACACGGAAAATCCGATTAATATGCGCCAACATTTAGTTCCTCGTCTGCGTTTATCTACTCCAACCACATCATTCTCTTTATTGTTAATTCCGATCATTTATGCACATTCGTCGTTAAGTTCTTTAAGGGGCCTTATCAGTATGAAATTAAAAAAAATCGAATTCTTTATTTTAAGAAAAAAAGAAAAATTTATGGTTTAATAAGGGAATTAAGATTTCTCGGGGACAGATAAGACTTCAGAGATTGGGAAACGTGATAATAATTCGTGTTTGCATTTCTTTTTTTGAAGCATGATCTAGCATTTGATAAGTTTTCGTGATTCGTCATGATAAAAGGAAAAGAGGATTTAGATACCCGTTCCTCAGATTCTAGTTTCTGTGAATTTTACGTTTGATCTTTGCCCATCGACTTGAATTCATTCGTTACAATCGTATTTCATTGGAAGTGGTCAATCTATTTTCTACGTACCTTAAATCGTTTGTCTTGGAGGACCTTCTTGATGGCGACCAGCTCCTCCGTGTCACATAATTTCGCTAGGTAGACAACGCCGAAGCTTCCATTGCCGATTACTTTAGTGTCTGTATAGGAGATTTCTTGCGGACGATCCGGGCCAGCACCGGCTGTAGCCACCACCGTCGTGACTTTGTTGCCATCTCTATCTGCATTATACATCACACCGCCCATAGAAACAAGCGAAAACCAAATGGGTAAAGTACAATGGAAATGAGAATGTGTACGATAACGTGAAAGATGGGCCACGGTTAATGGAATGCAATTAAGGATGTATTGGCTATACAGTCAATCTTAAAAGTTTATGCACTTTAGAAACACATTTTTTAAAAAGAAATCAGACGTCGGAAGAAC